CGCACTGCACCAAAAATTTTCACAATTCTACGATCTTTCCCCTCGCTCCTTAGCTTGGATACCTAACCACGTTATTTCTTTAACGGTGTCGATGATGCTGGCTAATTTAAATTCTTTCTTTTTTAGTGGATAATCGACTGACAGTGGCACAACGGTGATCAGAAGTGGCTGAGAAAGGAAAGCAAACGAACAGAGAGACATATAGGCTGTTTCACAGTTGCTAGACATATAATAGATATCCAAGTTTCAATATGAATATAAGTTTTTTGTGATTTAAAAATAAATTTACTGTGAACATTCATTTTTTTACGTTGCTCTATTATATGTCTTCATTCATATACTTATTTATATATTCTATTACATTATATGAATATTTTTTTCTTCTAATGAATTTTGCTTTCAGTAAGTAATGTGTATTATTGAAAAGTTTTTTTGAAGAGACCTGCAACTACGAAACAGCCAGTAATATATGCACACATACAAGAAAAATGTTGCGACGTGTAAAAGAATGAGCCAACGAACGAGGGGATGCAATGTGAGGTGCAATGCGGACAAAGTGAGCGATAAATGCGGCTTTCTTGATGAAAAACGATCGTATGTATGGATGTGATGTATCTATGTAGCATGTGATATGCATGATGACAAAAGAGATACTTTTGAGCTTGTTAGGAAAAGGGCGACAGCGATAAACATAATTGATAAAAAAAGAAAAAAAAAATGAAAAAAAATAAATACAATGATAATGAGAGGAAGGAAATCGAAATATTTTGAGGAATGGTGCCCACATGATCTGGTAAATTTTAAGATTAAATGTGAGATCTTGGTATTTGATTTTTTTTTCTGAACATATTCCTCTTTTTCTCTTTTGTTTTTTTTTTTTGGTTCATTTTTTTTTTTTTTTTTCATTCAGAAACGAGTTTAAATGGCGTATATGTACAATTTCTGGTTTCCTCTGTTACATGTGTTGTTAATTCATCCAGGGAGATGCAAGATCTCCGTTACCTGTACAGGAGGGATAATTTTTCAAGTAAAGCTCAAGAAAAATCCGCAACTACTTCTCTATGTATCCTACAACAAATGGCTCAGTAAAAGCTTCAACAAAGCGCGAATGCAGAAGATTAATATTAAAAGATGTGAGAATAGAACCCCATATTATTATATGCATATATTTCATTACTTCATTTTCCATAATTGCAACACGTGCTTGTATATTGCGGATCAGGACAACCACACAGAAGCATCTCATTATACATATATATATATATACCCTACATTAATAATCATTTCTTTTATTTAATTTATGTTTATGTTATTTTTTTCAATGTTTCTTTTCTTTTATTTTGCCTTTTTATCATTGTTAGTACGCTCAACGCGAGAGCAGCGAAAATTGTTAGTCCCAATTCGCAAGGTATTTTCGTATCCTAACCTCATCTTGCGAATTGGGAGATGACCTAAGCGGATAGAGAGAAATAAATGCAGAGAATGAAAAAAATCGGTTTGAAAAGAAGAAAGTTCGGCTCTGTGCGTGTGATGAATAGAAATGGGGATCGAGAAAGAACAAGAACCAGAGATGGGAAGAGACAAACAAGAAGGAGAGAAATATATATAAGATGTATAGACATAGAAACAGATAGAGAAACAGAAAAAAAGAGAGAAAGACAGAGATAAATAGTTAAAAGTTACAAGTTATTGAAAGAACATAGTCGAAACAGCTCCGGCGAGAGAATAGAGTGATTACAGATAAAGCGCTAAGCGCAAAAATATCACTTATTATATTAATAACTCTAATTATTCCGAATTTTCAGCTTTGAACTTCGGAATCAAAAGTTTATAAACTTGAACTCAGTTCAAACACGCTACTGAGATCCCTTGCACCAAACAAAAACGCAAATATATTACAATATATGATATATTGTGAGTGACGAGCATAGTGAATCGTCAAAAACGCTGTTTTCATTAGTTACTCTTTCACACAAACAAGTACGTAGACGTCAGAGAAGGATCTTCAGTCATGCAATGACTAATATTGAAGTTTAAGTTTTTTAAAACAAGATACGAGTAACAGTTTACTATCCACCAAGCAAACTAATACTCATTTTTTCCAATATAAACTCTACGTACTACAGTATCTAAATAAATAAATACATGCTTAACAAATTTCCAAAAATTTTACTTCCATAATAATATTAATATTCCAGATAATGATATTTTTAATTATCTTTTTGAATTTTTTATGATACTTTATAACATTTTCATATTCATTTCTTCCATTAATTTTGAGTTCAAAATATTTTAAATAAAGACTTGTCTATACTGACAAACATTGTCCTCAAACAATCCATGTACATTATTTGTCAGCAGTCGAGGAATATTGCTGGATCATGCACACAGATCATATACAGGAAGTGTCGTGCGTTCACATTTAGTTTATCAGTTGAAATATAGACCAATAGTTAATCGTGAGTTGTCCCAGGATATATTTTATCTTCTATTATCTACAGATTGTCGAAAAATAATTATTTGTCAGTATAGATTAACCCTTTTATTCGTTCTCTGTAATATATAGAATAATTTTCAACTTCTTCTTATACCTATAATTCAAAAATATATACAATCTATATTCAGATACTGTGGTACTTTCTTATTCAATTTTCTATCTTCGAACATTCAAAGTTTCTTTCTCAGAAGAAACTTGGAACATTTTATCACTTGGCCAGCATTAACGTAAAATTACGAGAAGAGGGGAGCGAGGGAACAACTGAGCACGCGCGTTTCATTCTTGTCCAATGTATTCAATTCAAATCACAGTGTTCATCATATCATTATTTAAATTGGATTCCTTTCAATATCCGAGCATCTACGTAAGGAGCATGCTACGTAAAGCGGTATACTAGTATGGAGTGAAAGACATATGACGAGCAAAAGCAATAGAAAAAGGAATTGTAAAAGCGAAAACATAAACCAATAGAAGCGCTACGATATATCATATACAGCTATCAATAATAATAATTAATATGAGTTCCACGATGCATATCTCCCTTCTATTACACCTTTACACGATACCAATACTAATGATACTTATCTTGGTAGTGTCTTTTTCACTATAGATGTTGCTACACTTATATTTCATAAATTATATGCAAATATACGTATAATATAATGACGGATGTTCGTTGTATAACAGAAAATATTGTCCTAATAATATATGTACATAAATATTTGAATATTTTTCTATATTAATATTGAGAAATATGCGCATAATTATGTAAAAATATTAAATTAATTAATTAATTTAATAGAAATTAATTAATTCCTATAATTAATATCGAAGATATAATATTTGAGAAGGGGAAATTTTTCATAAATATTATATTTCATAAATGTAATTTTCAAGAATTGCATATAAAATTAATACAATATTTTTTATACAACTATTATCCATTGTCAATTTTCCAATAAGACATTTTATATTCGTACACAATAGATAAACGCAGAATAATCGTATTTAATTGTTAAACATTTTTTAGATATATATAAATATAAATATATATAATAAATCTTCCTCGATAAACAATTCGATTGAGATAAAGAGGTTCATGCAAAGGCGATTGTCGTGTATTAGGAAGATCTCGATAAAAGCTCGTAGAAGCTGCGTATAATAACCCGTTAGAACTCAAATTATAATTGTGCTTTCAATTTTTAAAATTAATTAATTTATAAACAAGACACACGTTAATGCGTGCTTGTTAAATTCATTCTTAAAGCTTCAAAAGTTTTCATGTTATTATTAATTAAGAAATTTACTCCTGTATAATGTAACGCGTTCCTGTTGCGTCACACAATGCAAGAAAGTAAGAAAAAATCTTCACTTCTTCCCATTTTACATTCTCTTAATTTAATTAGTAAAATATGATTGATTTAATTCATAGCTCCTAGATGCTTTTTAGAGTGCTTTTTGCTATATATATATTGATTTATTCTCTTTGGTTTTCAGATAAAAAAAAATTAGAAAAAAAAAATAATAAAAAAAATTATACGATAAAAACGGAAGAGAAATCGAAAAGAATAAAAGTAATAAAAAAATATAATTCTAAAATATTTTGCTTGAGAACGCAACATGGGCGAAACCATTATTTTTTATCTAAATTAGGCCAAAGGCTGCGCCCGCTAAACTGAACAGAAGTATCTCTTATCATCTAGACACTAAAGAAAATGGTAATCTTTTTACGTGAATATATGTTTATAACTTACGAAAGGATTTTAGGAATCTTGCGCGTAGGAATAGTTGTAATTACTTGGCCCCACAATAGAGTACCGACTCCGAAGAATAGGCACCACATCCATTGTTCTAATGTGAGAGCTTTCGTGCTGAACGCCATTTTACCATATTGTATGATAACTACCTAGAAAACAGACGTAGGATTTTATTAAAAGGATACAAGAAATAATAATTGCGATATCACCCAAATGTAAAGCGACTTCTCTTGCATTCTCCGTTTCTGTTTAGCTGGAATCTTTATTAATTTATTATTTAATTAGATAGAAGAAAAAGGTAATATTCTATCTAAAAGATAATTGATAGATAGCTAAAAACAAGTATTAATAAATTCTTCTATAATAGATTCAAAATCTACATTATACTATGCTAGATTTCACTATAGATTTATCAAAATAATATTTAAGATTTCTAATATTCTACAATGTTAATTTCTATTCCTAATTTCATATGTAACGAAGAGAATGAGGACAAATACAAATACAATATCGTCAAATACATAATCATAGTTTTAATGATAATCTTAATAGTATTGTTATAATTATTAATTATAATTCCTTCGTATCATCCAAAGATTACTTTTTTTTTTTTATATTATATATATATATATATATACACAATCATCTTAACATCGGCCTTTATTCGAAATGATGAGTTGTCAGATCATAAGTACCGATATGATATATAAGTATCGATCGATATTATCTTTAAGTGAAAAATCATTCTGTAAGATAATTTACCTGCGATAGACATGTCACGATCCAGATAGTGTAAAAGATGGGATTGGTGAATATTCCTTGGAAGACATTACGCTGACCATGGATTTTTCTAGCGTTAAATTCGTTGAAAAGTGTCATCATGACGAATGTATTAAAGATAATAGTAAAGTGTTGCGTTGGACCGCCGCCAGCCTGCGCAACTCCTCGGCCTGTTTCGATGTCGAGCATCTTATCACCTATTAAGCATATTTCTCCATTGAAAGAATGTAACCGTTTCATTCATCTTAAAATCCAAAAAAAAGAAATTACTTATATAAAATCATTTAAAATATTAATTTAATATTGATTTGAACTATTTCTTTTTTTTTTTCTATTAATATTGTTACTCGTTAATATTGAATCGTTCGAAAAGAATAATGAAGTTATTATTTAATATCCTTTGGATTCAAGATGACACAGAAAAAGTATAAAGATAAAACGGTAAAAAACAGTAATATTTACCAACGAAAAGAAGCATAAAAATTACAGTCAACTGATAGATAGCTTGGCCAAGAATGTTCTTCATCATTGTCCTGGAAATGAGCGGTTTCGTGCGACCATAGGGTTTACGAAGAAGAAGATCAGGCGTAGGCATTTCGGTGGCCAATGCAAGAGATGCTAATGTGTCCATGATTAAGTTCACCCACAACATCTGCACCGCTTTAAGAGGGGAATCTTGCACGGCACATGCCCCGATAAAAGCAACTATAACAGCGACGATATTGACGGTCAATTGAAACTGCAAGAACTTTGCTATACTATCGTAGACGTTTCTACCCCACATAACTGCCTTCACGATCGACGAAAAATTATCATCCGTTAAGATGATATCGGAAGCTTCCTTGGCGACGTCGGTGCCAGCGATACCCATGGCAAAACCGACATCAGCCTTTTTCAAAGCAGGGCCGTCGTTCGTTCCATCACCAGTTACAGCAACAACTTCGCGACTCACGCTCGCTTTGCTATCGATTATGCCTTTTACGAGTGTATACTTGTCTGTAGGTGACGATCTAGCCAACACCCTTAACCTCGGCCACACTTTGTCCAACAAATGTTGTTGTACTTCGCCACTGCTATCGCGAATCCTCCTATTGAACTCTTTGCCTTCGAGGATCAGGAAATCTTCGTTTGGTTTCAAAATTCCACATTTCAAAGCAATGGAACGCGCGGTATTTATATTGTCTCCAGTCACCATTCGCACAGTGATGCCTGCTTTTTGACACTTTCTGATCGCTTCCGGCACCTCGGGCCGTACCGGATCCTCGATACCCACAATGCACAAACACGTGAGATTGTTCACGACATTTTCCTCGTCATCCCAATTCGGCTCGTTGTCGATATGAACCTGATTAATTTCTGCCTTTCCAGGAACGAAATCGCGATACGCGATGCAAATAGTACGGAGACCGTCACACGCCATCGGCTCGATCACGTTCTTTACCAGACGCTCTTGCATCTCTTTGGTAAATTTTTCCAAATGACCTTCACGACCATATATAAAGGCACATCTGGAACAATGAAAAAAAAAAAAAAAAATCAAAATCAAAGAAAATCGTTAAAAGAATATCGAAGTGACAAATGACAAGAATTTTAATTTAAAATCTGATTTTATGAATCATTGTGCGTGTACAAAATAACTCGCATCATTGAAATATCTTATTCATAATCGTGAATATAAATGATCATGAATATAAATGAGAAAGAATCTGGAACGAATAATCATTAAAAATTTAAAAAGAAATAAACGCACTTCTTCATGATGATCTCGGAAGCGCCCTTGGTAAAGAGCCTGTATCCACCACCTTTCCTCGGGATGGCGGTGGACATGCTCTTCCTAACGCTATTGAACGTGTATACCCGCGTGAAAGTTTCCTCAGGTTGATCGTCTCGTATCGTCTGATAGTTCATGCCCAGGGCTATTACAAATCCAAGTAAGGCACATTCGGTTTTATTGCCGACTTGAAGCGGCAAATCTGTAGGTTCCTGCGCAGGCATTATTCTGGATGTGTACGCCGAATTAATAGAAATAGCTTGAACCATTAAGTTTCCGACATGCGACGGGATATCCGAAAACTGCGGGGTTATTTTACTCATCTTTTCGCATATGTACGATTGAACAACGGTCATTCGGTTGGTTGTCAGGGTACCAGTCTTGTCCGAACAGATTGCCGTCGCGTTACCCATCGTTTCACAAGCATCCAAATGACGCACCAAGTTGTTGTCTTTCATCATTTTCTATACACAAATATAAATTCTTCGATTATCAACAGTTTTCTTTCGTACGATTTCAAGGATAAATAAAATATATACGATCTGAAAAGTTAGTTTTTAGCATAAAAAGAAACAAAGAAAAAATTTAATTTAAGGTAAAAAAACAAATAAATTTCCAGAATACTCAAGTGCATGTTTTTGATCGATTGATGTTATATCATCTCATTCGTACATAGCTAGATATCGATATTTTTATCAAATGCTTTTCAAATTATATTTGAATAATTTTTTAATTTTTTGAATTTAATATTTTAAAAGAATAAATTTAATAAATAGTCACCTTAACGGAATAAGCAAGGGAGAGGGTAACAGCTAGAGGAAGACCTTCGGGAACGGCAACTACAAGTACCGTTACACCAATGATCAAATGCCGCACCAAATCACCAGCGTATGTATTTTTCCAACTTTTCCCCTGCACGTAAAATGTGGTAACGCAGAACTGAATGACTAGAATGACAACGGTAAGCACTGCTATGGTCGAGCCGGCGTAACCGATTTGTATGGCGAGTTTAGTTAGCTTGGCTTGTAAAACACTCTTCTCCTTCTTTCCTTCAGGTGCGTGGCTAACTGCATGGTGGTTCTCCGCAGGTTCAGGCTTGGCTGCGCTCACATGGCTGTTCCCAGTTATTTCTTCATCTGTTTCATTAATAACATACACATTCGTATTTAAATTTCTTTATAAATATTGTTTAAAGCTCGATTCCCTTTTTTTATGTCTTTTCTTTTTATTTATATCCGTTAATTAACTTTTATATATCGCGTTTTTTCTTACATGAATTCAGTACTTATTCGCCATATGCTCGATTTTTTTTCACGGATATATGTATATATATATATATATATATATATAATCATTTCCTGAATCTAATGAAAACAGTATCTCATATAAATTTCTCATATAAATTTCAAAACGAAGGATCTCGATATTTTTTCGTTTTTCATTAGCTAGTTTCTATATTCGTTGTTGTTTAGAAAAATGAAATAAAATAAGAATTTCATGTCTTCAGCTCACGATCGATTTCAAACTGAGCTTATTATGAATAAGTACCCAACAAAACGTTAATATCTGATAGGATTCATATTAGAACTCTACTATAACTCGAATTCTTAATAATACTCTTACTACCGTATATTTAAATATACGAAATATTTCGAATTTTGGTTTGAAATTATAGCTATTCAATTTGCATCTATTCAAATCTGAATATTCGAGCAATAGTAAGAGCCTTAGTTATAAAACTATATGATTTAAAGATAATATTTCAAAAATAGGAAAACTAGAAAAACATGATTATTTGATTATTTGATTTTTAATCCTAATATATATACTAATTTCATTGAGATGTAGAAAAATCAGGCAAATAATGGAATCGAGTTTCCTTATAGTACATTTACAACTACATATATTGCATTTACATATTTTTCAACTAATATTAAGATATTAAACGATACTGATGACTAATATTAGTAATCAGTATCTATTGAAGAAAGGGAAGAAGAAATGTAGATATAATAATATAAGCCGGTAATGAAGAGAGATAATCATACGAGTTAATCGAAAGGCATAACATGTTATACGTTAAGAAACATAGACACGTAAAATAATTATAAAGTGTATAAAATAGAGGGAGGGAGAGAGGGAGGGAGGGAGCGAGAGAGAGCGAGAGAGAGAGAGAGAGAGAGAGAGAGAGAGAGAGAGA